CATAAAGTTTAAATTATAAATTGAACGCAAGTAACGATTTTGTGCTATCTGAAGTTTGTTAACTGCGTACAGAGATGCGGTTCCCCATACAGCGATACCGTATCTTATTCTAGATTCGATGCAAGTGTGGTACAGTCGTTTTGAGAGTGATGTGCTTAAAAAAGCCTGAATTTTCTTATTTATCCCAGTATACTTTGCCAGGGAAAGTGCAACATCATCTATATGTTTATTCCAGCGCAAATTATCATCAAAAGTTACTCCCAAAAACTTAATAGCATTTACTTTTTCTATGTTAAAATCAGTTATTTTAATATTTAGGTGATGCGGATTGATTATTTTATTCCTATTTGCAAAGCAGAGGAATTTAGTTTTATTTTTGTTAATTACTAATCCATTGTTTTCCATATAACTGTTTAAAATTTTTAAGATGTGATTCAAATTCTCCTGAAGAATTATAGCGTTTGTATGAGAATAAGTTATCACTAGATCATCAGCGTACATCAATATATTTTCTTTTAGTATAAAGTTAAACAAGTCATTAATATATATATTGAAAAGCAGTGGACCCAGGATTGAACCTTGAGGAACGCCCTTGTTTGGCCTGAAAGAGCTAGAGATAATCTGTCCAATTTTTACAAAGTAAATTCTATTTGACAAGTATGATTTTAACCAGCTTAGAGGAGTCCCTCTTAGACCAACAGTCTGCAATTTTTGATACAAGAGTTCGTGATTTAAGCTATCAAATGCTTTTGAAAGGTCCACAAAAACAGAAATTGCTATTTTAGATTTGTCGAGTTGTGACGTTATGGATTGTTTCAAATGCAACAAAGCATCTACCGTCGAAAATCCTCGTTTATATGCGTATTGGTTTCTGTGAATAACTTGGAATCTGTCTATAAAAGTTGAAAATCTCTTGTAAAAAATCTTCTCGAAAATTTTAGCCAACACTGACACTATTATTATGGGACGATAATTTTCAATTTCACTTTTTGATCCTTTATTTTTATATAATGGCAAAACTAAGTTTTGATTTAGTTTTTCTGGAAAGTAACCGTTTTCAAAAGATTTATTTATCAGATACGATAAAGGTTGAGCTAAAATATCGGATATGTGTTTTAAGATTTTAATATTTAAGAAACTGATGTCTGGAGTGCTGTTTTTCAAATTTTCTATAGTATTATAGACTTCTAAGGCCGTGGTATTTTCCAAAAAGAAAGTATTAGAAATACTAACATTTGTTATATGTTGCTTCGAGTTAATATTGCCGAGGACGTCCGGAGCAAAGCCTTCCAACGACCTGTAGTGCTCGGCAAAAATATCACTAAAAGTGGACTCATCATTTATCATTTTCCCTTTGTAATTCAAATGATCTATTTTAGCCTTATTCTTTGTCCTGGTTACCTGAAAGGGTAACGTCTTAATGCTTTTCCAGAAGTCAGAAGGAGATTTAACATTAGAAAACAGAAGACTGTAATAATTTCTCTCTTCATTACGGATATTTTTTCTAATTTGTTTATTCAAGGTATGTATATCTTCTAAATGTTTGTTTCGTTCTTCGAAAGTAGTCCAATTTTTATTTTTGACTATTTTAAGTAAAGTTTTCTTCTCCATATCATATTAGTAATGCATAGAAAGCATTACTAATATGAGATGGAGGATTACAAGATTTATTATTTATTCATGTATATTTAGTTACACATATTTTTAATTACATTAGATTAATTGTATATACACCAGTATTTACTCAAGTATAAGACGATCTCATGTATAGGACAAGGTGTGACTATAGAGATTAAAATAAAGAAAATTAGATTTATTTATATAATTCTAGTTTCATTTCATTTAATCACAAAATATTATCAAATGCACGTATTAACGCAAATGACCATGTTTGCCTTAATACATGATGAATGGAAAACAAAACCAAAACATTATAGTGCATATGACCAGAAAAAGTTTATTTTTGATGATTCAGAATGTGCTAATATTTGTTAAAAATAACAATTTAACTAATATAAAATAACTACATTTATAATCATTGCTAAGTGACCTGTATTTGTATTTCATTAATGTTTTTATAAATAACAAGAAACTATTTTCTGAGAACCAATGAGATGCAATGCAGTTTTTAATTGATGGATGTAGTATTAAACCGCCCACCAGTGGCCGAGTGGTCTTCGTACCCTAAACACTGGGAGTTCGGTCGTGGGTTCGCGCCGCGATCGGACAGGCTGGCTGCTTGGAGTTTTCCGGGTTTTCTCCTTGCCAATAACGACTAAATAGGAGGCCAGTTCCCCATAAAAGTCCTCCCGGAAGGCATTAGTTCCCCTCGCGTAACATCGCGCCCCAGAGAAGGCAACGGGAAACCACTCTGGGTAGTAACTTTCCCTAGTATACACCTTGGCGGATTACAAACCTACGCCAGGTGTCGCCAACGTCAGGAATCTGATATGGCACCAAGAAGAAGAAGAAGTATTAAACCAATAAACAAAGGGTGTGTCTTAATTTGTTTACAGTAATATAATTACCTCTTTCTAACCTGTTACCGGTGTGTCTACTAACTCTTAACGATCCAAAACGAACCAAAACTAATGTTTTCGAACCCTTAAACGGTTCTTCTTCAGGTTTTTTCGAATCTCTGATGGAAAATGCAGCTCGTAAAAACTTGTTTACAGTAGGTGCCAACTTACGATAAATAAACTGTAGACTTATGAAGTATACACGGTTCACAGAAATTATTACAAAAATGCAAAGAATCCTACATTTGCACGTATAGAACGACCTAGGTTTCTGAAGCAATGAAAAATGAATAAAAACTTCATCTTATATGCAAGTAAATACAGTATTTATTTATATTAAGCCTATACTATTTTGTTTTTCATTTATTTTATCTTATATACATACCAGGCAAAAAGACATTTGGCATACACATTTTCATTTGTTAAATTATGTTCTGATGCATTAACTTTCAAATAAAATTAAATAAGTTCTATTCTGATGTGTTTGTTCCATTTAAGATGTACTTTTTCATCCTTGAAAAAGGTTATTAAAAATGACCAAAAACATTAGAGTAACATTAAAACTAGGCCTATATTGCATTTAAAAGTATTGGTTTGATATTATTAGTATTTTTCACAGTATTATGCTTTCAGTATCTCTAAGATTTATTACAAAGTGGCAACTATATAAATCTTTTTATCATATTAATGGCACAACATACATTATTAGTATTAAATGTAAAGACACACATCAACAACCACAACAATTGAATTATCAGTTATATAATTTTAAATTTACCGTATTTACTCGCATATAAGATGAGGCTTTTATCCATTTTTCACTGCTTCAAAAACCTAGGTTGTCCTATACGCATGAACGAAGGATTCTTTTCGTGTTTGTATAATTTTTGTAAACTGTGTATTTGCATTTTTTTACCGGATTCTCACCTTCTGGTGTTTAAAAACAAAAGTATTTTATCTGGGTCATTTGAATCATTCTTGTGTATTGACAGGAATAAAGATGAATAACAATAGGAAAAGCAAAGCTTTTAAAGTGAATTCCAAAATTACATGGAAGCCCGATATAAGTTTTAATTCATTCCCACGTGAAAACAGATGATTATTTGGAAATCAGAATTCAAAGAAACTCATAAGTGTAATCGACGGAGAATGGATTCGACTGTTAACAATTGGCAAAAAAGGTTCCCAATAATTGTCCAGCTTTACATGAACAAATTATGTTGTCGATTTTACAAGATTTTTATTTGACGTTTAAAATGCCAGTCATTTTTGCGGGACAAATGTGTGCATTTACGTTCATTTAATATTTTATTTGTTATTAAATGAAAAAATTAAATTAGAATTGTATTAATAAATCTAATTTTCTTTATTTTGATCTTTACAGACACACTTAGTGCGAGATTGTCTTATATTTGAGTAAATACGGTATACTGAAATTTTAATAAATATTATATATAATAATAATAAATAAATTCCTATTATTTAACTGTTTTGTGTGTGTATAAATGTTAACAATGTATGAATTTCCAGATTTATCAGATTAAATATATTCATTCAAAAATAATACATAACAATATTAGTATAATGTAATAAAATATTATAAGACAAAATTTTTCAAAAACTGGCAATTAAGAGAAAGATTTTAATTTTAAATATAAACAGCTGTGATAAAATTTATACAATCATACAATAATGAGTTTTAAAATTAGATATGAATGAGAAAACAAATGTATTGAAGTTTATTTCTTAAATAAACTTCGCTACTCAACCTTGTAATCACAAGACATTTAAATAGAAACATTTCATGTATTTAATTAAATATTTTTTTATGGATTACTGCTTGTTTATTCATGTAAATATTTTATATTTCTTACATATTAATTTAATTTCTTCTGAAAAATTTGAAATTCCTATTAATAAAAATCATACGATGATCGTCGTGCACGATTGTAGCTAATAAGAAATAAGCAAATAAATAGATGATATGCATAATATTTTTATTATAAAAATATTATAAAAATATTATGCATATCATATTAATATTAATTTAATATTAATAATTTATGATTATTGATTTATAATTTAACATAGCATTACATCAAATTAAGCACTTTTTAATGATAAATTATAATTTCTGGTGAACATTATCCTAATCTTTCTAATATAATATTAATTTAACTTTTATAACATATAAAAGAACACACTTCGTTGACTTTTTATGTAATATGATTAATTTTTCGAGTTATTTTACATCTTTCTTACATTCGTTTGCAGGACTTGATAAATAAATAATTTAAAACAATTCAATGTCGATATAAAAACGTTTTAACGAAAATATAAAGAATATTCCGTGTTTTTTATTAATATCTTATGAGTCTTTAAAATGGGGAAAAATGATTTATGTCGTTGAAACAGATTATTTTTGTCACAGGGATTAATAATTTCAAACTTCGAAATACTTCATATTAAACAATTAATTACCTTTTAGACATTGTCGGAATGATCATCCATTGAACAAAAGCATAATCGGCATAAAAAACAGCAACGTAAGTTAATATAATACATATCACGCCACATGGATCCCACCGACACACAACCATCTTCCTCTCATCCTCACTACATTTGTCAACAAGAAATCCTGCCAACTTCCGTTCCTAACACCGAGAAGAAAAAAAGAGAAAAATCCATAGCCCAAATTAAATTTATTATAAATATTGTATTAATTTGATTTATTCGTAACTCTTTTTATATAAAATTTAAATACAAATATTTATTTTTCAGAATCTAAGTTATATTTTATACATTAATGTTTTATATATATATATATATATAATAAAAATATTCATTCGTCCGGATATGTCGGATCCCGTCTCTCACACCCGGCCGCGCCCCATATATATATATATATATAATAAAAATATTCATTCGTCCGGATATGTCGGATCCCGTCTCTCACACCCGGCCGCGCCCCATTGTGGGCCAGGCCGAATCTATAATGGCTTGCTAAAAAGAGATCTTAGTGCCTACAGGACGGAACGAGTTTTGAAAAAATATTCAAATTCAAATTAAAAACCGAGATTGAATTCTAATATCCAAAAATGAATTGTCTATAAGATGATTTTTTTTTTTTTTTGCTCTGTCCCGATCGTTTCAGTGAAATTTTTACCTTTTTTCCCGTTTTATGAAAATCTAAACATTTAGATTTCTAGTTCATATATTAAATACATTTGAATATTAAATTCTGATTTTTTGATTTGTAGAAAATATTTATTCTGCGTCGATAAGTCATAAATTTGAATAGATACTGCTGAGGAACACACCTAAATGGTAAGAAGTACAAAATAGTAGAAACATTAACAAGAACAGCTGAAATTTGATTATGTTGTTCGATTACATTGAGTCCTAATAAAGACAACAATAAGTTATAACCAAATACTTGGAAAATCGGAATGAAGAAAAAATCAACGTAGATGAAGATGGCTAAAAATACTGTACTTAATGTTTGTTAACTTATGGCAACGCAACACTTGGGCGATCTACCTAAGGGGATGCCTTCCGGGAGGTCTTTTTAAGGGAAATTGGCCCCTATTTAGGAGTTACAGACGTGGAGAAAACCCGAAAAACTCCACGTGGCCAGCCCGTCCGAGCGAGGCGCGAACCCACGACCGAACTCCCAGTGTTCAGGGTACGAAGACATCTTGGTCACTGGTGGGAGCTCTGTACATAATGAAATGCACGACAAGGGTCTTGAATCATTTTAATAATTTGATAGCATTAACACTTTGGTTTCTGGAACTACAGGCAATCCTACAAATGACCCCATCAATAATGTAGTGAATAAAATCACTGAACATCGGACATTGGTTCCGGGTTCGTGTCTGACCAACGGGAAAGCCGCATGTTTTTCGAACAACGATTGAAACGTTCGGATCGCATATAAATTATGGAATTTTGCGAAAATATAAGAATGTCTGGTTCATTTCCATAATCTGGCACCACGCTGGTCACGTAGGTGTTGCATTAACAAACTTCTACTGAAATTAAAACTGATTCGCGAGTTTTATTTGCTGTTGACATTGAATAAGCTACATCTTCCATAACTTTCAGTTTAAATAAAAAGTAATTTTATTCTTCGGAATTCATTATCGTATTAATAAGAACACGTGTGTTAAAAATCAGAATTCAATTATTTTGAAATTTTATAATTATTTTTAATTAAATGTTTATTTATGGCGAATTATGTATGAGAAATAATTAAAACTTTTATCGTGGATAGATACATAATTCATTTGCGAAAGATTCCAACTTTTAATCTGTAAAGAAAATTCTTCAAATGTGTCTATCAGTTCATTTAGAATATTGTTCTATTCGCGCATTATCTTGCAGCATCATATTTTTGACGATTTCTTGATTCGTGGACTCAATTTTCCAAAGAAATTTTTCCAGTTCGTCCAAATTGTTTTTAAGTTTCTGTTTTTAAGTTTAAGTTTCTCTCGAGGAATTTAATACCGTGTCGTAAATTACTGACGTAATCCTCCGAGCTTTGTTTATTTCTTTCTTGAAACTCGGATAAACTTTCTTGGCATTCCATCTGATTCGGTTCGTATTCAGAAATATTTTTTCCTTCTCGTCTAAAAGTCTCTGCTTTTCATCATTTGAGGCGAAAAACATTTTTTTCGCGTCGAGACTTCCAGCATTTTCGACACACAACGAAGAGAAGAACAGACAGAAGAAGGCTGGTTGAAACAAGAATTACGTAAATGATAACAAGCTTCTTTCTCTTATTTATAGATTTAGGGTCCATTTTATTTTTCTGTGATTTTCCAATATGCATTAAATTTTTATATCCACGAAAAAACTGATCGTTGGCATTTGCATCTTTGCTTTGAGTTTTTGTTCTTTGTTCATAATCATTCTTATTGAAATGTTGATAGGGAAGTATGATGGCTGTTCCGGTAAATACTTCATATGCTGTGACTTTTGTAAATTTTCCGGTACTGAAGTCGTCATCTCTGCGATTCTCGAGCGTTGGAGCAAACAGTAGTCTATAGTCCATTTTCTTACGAACTGGAATGTCAAAGTCCGAATAAAGAATGTCTTTTGATTTGTATTTTCCGGTTGGTTGAAGTGAGTTAGAATAATAATCAGTAATATCGTTTCTTCTGAGATATTCTGCATTGTAATACAGAATACCGTTGTCTTTGTCTAATTCGAGTTGAGAATTTTTTCCGTCTTTCAAAAATTTAGTATTGAAAAAGTCTCCACCTTCTGTCACTCGATCAGGGCTGTGGAGGAGGAATTTTTGGCCAGAGGAGGAGGAATCAGAGTCGAAAAAAATGTGTCGACTCCGATATTTTAAATTTACTTTAGTTTTTTTATTTAAATGAAAGAAAACGTATTATATATCTATTAATTTTTTATTAATTAATTCCTTTTGTATTTTGTTATAATTCATTTATTTTAAATACAAAATGCATCAATTTATTAAATATGTAGTATTCTTTGTATTGATAGTATTTGTATTTAGTAGTTAAATTATTTTAACCCAATTGAATTTGAATATTTTTGAATCATTCCTTTATTATCCCTGTTCTAAATAAATACTCTATTTTTCTGAATGAGCCAGGCTAATTGATCAGAGTATATATTTTTCTTTTCTGAACAAGGGGCTGAAGTAGCTAGATCGCATACTTTTTAGTTCGACTAACTCTTCTGGAAGGGTGAAATTGAAGTGCAAATGCTGTCGAATATATGTAGATGTAGAATTTTATCACCCCTCTTTCTCCTCTTATTAATTAAATATTTGTTAAAAATTAATTTTTATACAAATAAATATTAATGTAAATTAAACATTAAAAATACTAATTATAAAAGTATTTGGGTAAACGCTCCAGGCTCTTTCAGAGTTCAGAGTAGGGTACCACCCTATGATCGCCTCTGCTCCCCCCATAAAATGACTTGGTATTTAATTTTGCCGTAGTTGGGAGTCGGAGTCAAGTGTTTTTTACCGACTCCGCAGTCCTGCATTCGGATAAGGGAAATGTCGAGATTTTTCGAAAAATTAAAGTCAACACTGAAAGAAAATATCGCAAGATGGCTAAACGATAATCGCATTCACCTAAACGATAGCAACAATAAATGCTTTTTGCGATCATTATCAAATATATGACCGAGCGATCAAGGTGACAGCCTATCGCTCTGGGGATCCGGGATCGAAAAATCTCCAGGAATTTTTCGGGGGTAGTCCATCAGGATATGTCCGGCTCCGTCCCTCACCTCCTGGCCACCCCATTGTGGGCCTGGCCGAACTCATAATGGGCTTTATATATATATATATAGTAGTACTTTATGTTAGACTTGATGACAAGACAACTGAAATATTAATTCTTTCTGCTTCGATTTGAAAAATATATGAAATAATTTACATAATTTTTAATAAAAATTATTATTTCACGTATAGAAATATTGATTTATAATTTATAAGTATTATTACATTGATGAAACTAGTAATGCATCCTGTAACTTAATTATAAAATTCATTTATTATTTTAAGAATTGATTTTAAAAAGACCCGATACATTTTGTTTTTGCGCTTCTTTAAATGCTAACAACTGAAACTTTAAATAAACAAATTGTGTATGATGATAATTCCACAAGAAGAATGTTTAATTAATGGAAGATACTGTTTTAGTAAATATAATATACAGAGTAACGATATTTCATAATTAACACAAACAAGGATTATTTCAGAAAATAAAATAAAAGTGGAACAATTGGAATGAGAGAAAATACTACAGAGATACGAAAACTCAACTCGTAAACAGAATTACTAAAATTAAAACTTAAAAAATTTTAATTTTATCGTATTTATTTACATATTTCTTATAATTATTTTAGTACGAGAGACAAACATCATATTAAAAATCTTATGGTTTACAAAATACTAAATACTGTATTTTAAGTTTGTCACAGTCATTTTCATTCTGAAGTTCATTGTACTGTACTTAAACTTACTGTTATTTAAATTTTTGTATTTACTCACTTCTCAATTATAGAATTTGAAAATGATGAGAAAACTTAATAAAAAGCATTTAATTTTTTTAAATTTGTAAAATTTACATCTCTCTAATGTAAATTGTGCTTTGTAGTGACGTAACTTGCGAAGTACTTCACAAAATCGACTGAGAATAATCTTTAGACAGAGCAAATTAAAATCCACAGAAAATAAGGCCCAGCTTTGTAAGAATCGTAGTTACGAATTCAAATTCACATTGTTGGCTTCCTTTTGTATGAAATGGAGCGCCTAATAAATTTCTAACATTTGATGTAAATAAACGTCTCAGATTGTTTGCGTTNATCGTATTTATTTACATATTTCTTATAATTATTTTAGTACGAGAGACAAACATCATATTAAAAATCTTATGGTTTACAAAATACTAAATACTGTATTTTAAGTTTGTCACAGTCATTTTCATTCTGAAGTTCATTGTACTGTACTTAAACTTACTGTTATTTAAATTTTTGTATTTACTCACTTCTCAATTATAGAATTTGAAAATGATGAGAAAACTTAATAAAAAGCATTTAATTTTTTTAAATTTGTAAAATTTACATCTCTCTAATGTAAATTGTGCTTTGTAGTGACGTAACTTGCGAAGTACTTCACAAAATCGACTGAGAATAATCTTTAGACAGAGCAAATTAAAATCCACAGAAAATAAGGCCCAGCTTTGTAAGAATCGTAGTTACGAATTCAAATTCACATTGTTGGCTTCCTTTTGTATGAAATGGAGCGCCTAATAAATTTCTAACATTTGATGTAAATAAACGTCTCAGATTGTTTGCGTTAATCATATTGCATGTATAGAAACGAAACTGCAGCTTTAATTGGTCAATTTTCACTTTGCATTACAATGTTTCATCCCAAAATCCTGGAATTGCAAAAAAAAATTTGAAATGCAACATTTGAAAAACATGCATTCGAATTTTTTGAATTGTACCACTGTGTTAAATCTTTACTTGTTCTCTGCTATATAGAAGCGTGAAAGTTACTTTTATTCTTTCGGCCCCCAGAATCTTTACCATGCAAATTGATAAACAACTTAAAACTCAAACAGGACATACTTTCGATTCGTTTTACAAATTACAATTTTACCAAGTTTTACCTAATCTTGTTACAAGCATAAACATTCAAACCCAAAATGTTATTTAATTAGAACTAGAGAAGGCGACTAATAGCTGCCTCTAGTGTCAAAATACTTAGTATTTAATAGTAGTAGTAATAGAGCCCGATATAATTCGGCAATCGTTTGGCTTTATATTCATTTCATTACAGGGTGACAATATCAATGCTTTATTGAACAAGATAAAGCCTATATATACAGCAGTTCACCCATATACGAAATGCTAAAGAATGTCATTTGATCAGATATAGGTACTGATAGATTTCTTTCCCAGATCAAACATAAGTGTAGGCACTAGTAGTATCATGCATTACAAGTAGAGATGTAAATACTTTCCAATCTCTGCCTGCATATGCAAGATAGTTGTAACATTTCTAGTAACTGTCAAAAGTAACTAGCACATATTCAGCAATATAAAGAGGATTAAAAATTACTTAAAGAAGTTATACTTTCTCTCTGTTATACACTATATAACAGAGCCAAAAAAGTAAAAATTAAATATTCTTAATAGCTTTAAATTTTACAACGATAATGTTCAAAAACATAGAGCATACAATAATAATAACAATAAAATTACAAGTTTGTAGAAGTAGCATCAAGTACAAAATATTTACTTAAATACTATTATCATTGAACTTAACATTTATATTCTCAGCTGGTTTTCTCCCAAAGTTTGGTTCAATTGCCAGAAATTGCTTGAGAAATTTTTGTTTCAATTTTGCTTTGTTAATACCACTACTCTACTGCAATAGAACAGAATATTTTTTTAGTTTAAATAAAGCAGTTTTTACTAATGATTTTTGCTTTATTTTTTACAATATATTATAACACCAACAACAAACAATCAACCAAGAAAATTATTATGAAAAAAACCTTTATTGCAAGGATATCTTAGTGTTGAAGATTAAAAAAGAACTAAAAAATTCTGTTTGAAATCTAACTTTTTAAATATATAAATAGAATATATTACCTGATTATTTATAAAATGATAAATATTTTAAAGTTTAGTATATTTTTAATACAGTATATCATTTTTGAATAATTCTTTTTCTAAGTGTTGAAGATTATTATAAATAATTATATTCTAGATTTTTCTTGAAAAATTATAAATTCTTGGGCTGTAAATATATAGATACTAAAATATTAATTTATTTTTAAATTCTTTTAACTTTATCACTTTAATTAATATTATGGATTCAAATTTTAAAATCTTTCTGAAAATACAAATTTGATGAGGATAATGGAACCATTTTATAAAGATTATATAATAAATTTAAAATGTTTTCAAATATAATTAAAAACAAATTTATTCACATTTTATGAAAATATTGACAAATTAAACTACAATATTTACATGGTAACAAATAAATTGTCATAAGTACCGGTACATTTAATATACAATAGGATATGTCGTAGTGAAACACTTTATTAAAAGTTCTGGTCTTATAAATACTCATATTTAACATTAAATAATAAAAAAAATGATTATCTTGAACTATTATCAATTATATTTGCCATTAGAAGCGACTGCAAATTAGCTGTTTGAATACTTAAAGATGTTGGTAATTCTTGTATACTTGCTTCTTTATTGGATTTATCTTCTAAAAAAATAATAAAGATAACAAGCAATTATTTATTGTGACATCACCACAGTGACGAGCTGCAATTTTAATCATATTTTTAATTTATTTAATTTAAAATATATACTCTCCACCTCAAATTAGTAGTGGCTGTCCCTTGTACATTATACTTTTCCATTAGCTCCATCTATATAGTTCCTTTTAAGGGAAATATTTTAATTGAAATAATATGACTTCTGGTTTGCATGAGAAGTTTATATATAGTTAATCAGTGCCTCCTGCCCCTAAACATTCCATATCTGGTCTTGAATTTTATTTATCTAACACTATTCTTAAGATTAAGGAAACACAGGTGAATGACAGTGGGAATAAGTAAGCCTACAATTTTTTTCAAATTGCAGCCCAATAATAGTTTTAGATATTGGTATTGTCTGAAATCATCATGACTATATATAGAGTACTAGCTTACCCGTCGCGCATTGCTGCGATCTCAGAAGAAACGAAATTCAAGCAAACTCATTATGATAAAATTAAATTTACATTTTATCATTTTTATTGAAACTTATTATTATTATATTATTATTCATTTTCATCAGGAAAACATTTCAAAGTGTCGTTTCAATTCTATTTATTTATTAGAGCGCTTGTGGATACACGATATTTTTTGTTTTCTCATCTGATGCGTACACGAATAAATCAGAAGGTTTTCCGACGCGTGAGCTGGTCACATACAGTTGTCCATGTGTACAGTGACCATATTTTTTTGGGGAAAATAAAGGACATATCGAAGAAAATCAAAAAATACCTTATAAAATTCATAAGTTTATAACATTTATTACGAAAATAGTAGCATACAACAATGCATACATTAAAATTTTAAACAATCTGAATTATTACACATACACACATTGTAAAAATTTAAATAATATTAATTTTGATACTTTTCAGTAGAATTAATTTTTTTATAGCGCCGTTTCACGCTTCAAAGTCATAAAATTCCATACAGTTCATTTGAAAGTTGTATTTGACAGAAATACGTGCTTCTAATGTGCTTACTTTTAAATGGGTTTTTTCATTCGTCCGCATATTATTCAGCAATGAAAATATTCGTTCAACGGGGGCATTAGATCCAGGAAGACAAAAAAAATTCTACGATTTTACAAACGTTTTTGAAAACAATTTCTTCTGCTGTAAAATGTTCAAAAATCTCAATCCACCTTTGATGGCAGGGCTGGTTATTCTGTCACCATTCGTCGATCTTTTCGTTTGTGACATATTTTTTTACACATGAAACTTCATCAAATAATTCACCGTCGAGTATATTTACGGACCAATGATTCGAAATAAAGATATAGCTTTCCTCTACCTTCGCCCACAAAGGGATTTCACATAATGTGACCCATTCAAACACCTCTATTTCAATAAAAAACATGTCCCAATCATTTAGATAATCTATGCACGTTTGATAAAATGTGTACACAGCATCATTGAATTTTTTGGCTTGTATATTTTCTGATTTTTCTAATGCTAAAACCACTTTTCTAATAACAATAGGAAGAAACCCCTCATTTTTTCTTTCAACTAACTTTAGCTTTAATTAACAAGTGTATCATCCACCAACTAGAGAGTTAAAAAACTATCACAAAAATCCCCATAAGAGTGTCCACCCCCTGGTACTGTCAGTGGGCCGTTTGGTTGGCGACACACTGCACTACTGCGCTCTATGTAGCAATGCAACACTGGTCGTGATGGCGTATACAAAACTAACTTGTTCAATATATTATTAAAAAAAATTTTTTTAAACTTTGCGTCAACTTTACAAAATAAAGGACAAAATGCCTATTTTAGAAAATAAATAAAGTTAAAGGACAGAGCAGTGAAATAAAGGACTGTCCTCTTAAATAAAGGACGTATGGTCACTGTATCCATGTGAGAAGTACGGATTCTCCAAATTTAGCCCACACACTTGCAGCGATTGTCAGAAGTGCGATATTCCCCATTTTTATATATTTTCTTAATCCTTTACAATTTTAATTATTTAATTGCTCCTTTCTCTCTTCCTTGGCATGTTGTGAAATTTCTGATAGTTGGATAATATACCGTTTTATTGTAATTTGTGTTTTTAAATTATTTTGAGTAAATATTAAAATTTGGAAAAGGGGATACCTAGATCGGTAAAATAGGCAAATTTCCTCCTACAACTTCAGTTGTTGTTTGGGATACAGTTAAGGTTTTAACAAAGTTCCAGCGAATACATAATTAGCAAAAAAAAAGTTGAAATAAAGTGATTAAACAAAAATTATTACAAATATCGTAAATAACAGTTCACAAATGCATATATAGAAATATTTTTTGGAGGGGGAAATGGTCTTCACAATCTGAAATCAATCAAACTTACGATGCTCGTATACACTCTCGCCATCTATCGTAGGATAAATGTACTATGCCAGAAACCTTCGTGGGAGTGTATTAAAAAAAACTTCCCAAAGTTTCATGGCAATCAGATAAACAATGTGGTAATGCATGAAGGACATACAGACAGACATACATTCATTTTATATATATATAAACATTAAAACACACACATATGCACACAAAATATATAGTGTTTTTCAAAAATACATAGGAGAGTTGAGGAGAAGCTTATAGGCAAAGCATCAGAGGCAAGTATATAGTGTACTGTTTATATAGTACAATACATCATTTTAGGTCTAAAATACTATCAAATGGAAGTTAAGTAAATGAAATTCATATGCATGATTGGATCACTTTCAACTGATCTAGGTCTAGCTGCATAGTTCTGTAGCTAACTGATGTGTTCTGAAGATTCAACTTGTTCTATTTAATACAAGAATAAGAATAAACTATCAGTGGTGTGCCGTGACATTTGATGATAGGGAAGTTGTGTTTCTGTAAGAAGCCGACATCCAGGGACAATCAGTCAACTGCACGTCAGTGATGGTCTAGGGTCCATTTGTATCGTTTATTCAATAAGCCAGTAAAAACTGTAGACTTCTCTAAATGCATTTTTAATATCACAATTACATTCCAAATCGCTAGCCACGATATAAGGGCTACAATTAAAAATAAAATAATAAAAACTTACTTGGTGAAATAAAATGTGTGGTGGACGTACCGGTACATACCTGGTACAAAATATTCTTCAATTGTATGAATATACTTTTAAAGAAAATTATAATTACAGTAATACCTCGACTTACTCGAACCCGGAGTTACGCGATTTTCAAATCTCGTCGATTCGTCTTTTGTTTGAGCGCCACGCGACTCTCGATTACTCACTCCCCCCACACTATTGTTCAACTTACATGTTCGGACGTGTCGCGCGGAATCGACACATAGCTACAATTTATTTTGTGTTATTTTTTTCTGTGTTTGTTATATCTACGGAGACTTGAGAGACAATATGTGGTGATTTCTTGTAACCGTGAACGAATCAAAAGACGAGATAAGATTAACGAGAACATTTATTAGCTTACATACA